AGCATAGCAACACACTACAAACATATGCAACACCATAGCAACACATTACAAACATATGGAACAGCATAGCAAAACATTACAAACATATGCAAGTTAACGCAACACACTACAAACACTTGAAACACCATAGCAACTGCATAGCAACACACTAAAAACACTTGGAACACCACAGCAACCATAAAGCAACACTCTGGCAACAGGCTTTGCATGGGGAAGCATAAAAAACAATGCCTTCAATTATAGAATTATCATTTTATAGAACCATAAATATTTTTGTTCTATATTAATGCTGTTAAGTTCCATAAAACACATAAAACACAATCAATGTACAGGTATTATTTATAAGTTACTTTAAAATATAGACTTTTAAATTAAGATTAATGTATAATATTCTATTATACTATAAATTAAACCAAATTATTTTCACACATATTCATATTTTAGTTAACAAAAAAAAAAAAGAATAATAATAATATTAATGAATAGTGTTTTCATAATTGTTTCAGTGTTTTCAAAGTTAATTTCACCCCAAAAATCACATGAAAAATACATTATTATAATAAATGATTATTAAATAATTAAAATAATTATCAAATCAAATCAAAATTTAAACTATTCTGAAATATAAATGATAAATGATGTAAATTATTTTAAATGAAACCAATCATTATGGGTTCATTTTGCCTTATTTCATTACAATTCTATTCAAAAGTTGCATTATTGTAATTAAATCAGCATAAATGTACAAAATATCACAAAGACTTAGCAAACACCCTTTAGCAACCCCATAGCAACACCCTGACAACAGGATTTGTATGGGTAAGCACAAAAACCAATGCATTTATTAATGTAATCAGTTACAGAATCGCTTATAGTTTGGTTTTATATTTATGTTGTTTAGTTCCAGACGGTTATATTGCGACCTGAAATGACCTGTTGTACTGTACACTGACCTGAATACAGTGTGGGTGCAGTCATATTAGATTAGCAGACCTGCAGAATTCTGTAATACGATTGACCGATGCTTCTATAATGACTCTGATACAACTCACATCACGTCATACCTTTCACAATCTAATGAAGATGCCCAATTACCACCGGAGACCGTCTTAACCTCAACTCATTTAGACGTCGAAAAGGTACTTCAATTAAACAATGCATTTTTTTTATTAGAAAGCACAGTAAATAACCCAAAAGAAACTGGAGTGAACATCGTTTAAGTATTATACAGAAAAATGAGTCGGTGTCATTTTCAGTCTTTCCGAGAAACCCAATTTGAGTTTGACCACCAGATCACCATTGGGTGTATCCTACGGGACCGTGTGACGCAGGACAGACACTGAGAGTCTTCAGTAACGTGAATAATCAGGTGTATAAAAGCGGCGGTCAGGAGACAGAGAGAGAAAGACAGACGGGAACTGAGCCGAGGAAACTATTCTTCATCCATACAGGTGTCAGAGATCATATATAACAGCACAGCTGGAAACACATCCTGACCGTGAGTACTCGATTCTTCAGTCTTATTTGTGTGTGTAGAAGCTACATAGGATATCTGAACTTTTATAAATGCATTTCTTAATCATTATATGTGACCCTGGACCACAAAACCAGTCATAAGGGCCAATTTTTCGAAATTGAGATTTATACATCATATGAAAGCTGAATAAATAAGCTTTCATTGATGTATGGTTTGTTAGGATAGGACAATATTTGGCTGAGATACAACTATTTGAAAATCTGGAATCTGAGGGTGCAAAAAAATCTAAATATTGAGAAAATAATCTTTAAAGTTGTCCAAATGAAGTTCTTAGCAATGCATATTACTAATCAAAAATTAAGTTTTGATATATTTACAGTAAGAAATTTACAAAATATCTTCATGGAACATGATCTTTACTTAATATCCTAATGATTTTTGGTATAAAAGAAAAATGTATAATTTTGACCCATACAATGTATTGTTGGCTATTGCTACAAATATACCCCAGCGACTTAACACTGCTTTTGTGCTCCAGGGTCACATATAATATATATTGTTAAAAAAATGCAAAGTTTCAAAAACATTTGTTTGTAGTTTATTTTTTAAAAACGAAATATTTCAAATTTATGTACATTTATTAAAATAAAATGTTTTTGAGCTTATATTAACTAGGGAACTACATGGGATATTTTAACTTTTATAAATGCATTTATGTAATATATATTGTTAGAAAAATGTCACATTTCAAAGTTATGTGCATTTATTTATTTCTTTATTTATTATATTTTTTGCATTTATTAAAATAAAATGTTTTTGAGCTGTTAATTCGGAAACTACATGGGATATTTTTACTTTTATAAATGCGTTTGTTATTCATTATATAATATATATATATATTGGTAGAAAAATGCAAACTTTTAAAAACATTTATGGGTATTTGGCTACTTTATTTGCTTTTTTAAACTAAATATTTTAAATTTATGTACATCTATTAAAATAAAATGTTTTATGATCTTATGTTAAATGGGAAACTACATTTTATTTAATTTACATTTTACAAATGCATTTGTTAATCATTATATCATTTATATTGTTTAGAAAAATTCAAAGTTTTAAAAACATTTATGGGTAGTTGAGTGCTTTATTTACAAATTTCACATTTAAAATGTATGTGCATTTATTAAAATAAAACGTTTTTTTTTGTGCTTCTGTTAATTGGGAAAGTACATGGGGTATTTTAACAATTTATAAATGCATTTTTAATGATTATATAATATATATCGTTAAAAAAAAACTTCATTTACAAATTTCACCTTTCAAATTTATGTGCATTTATTAAAGTAAAATGTTAATTGGGAAACTACATTAGACGTGTACTTTTATAAATGCATTTGTTAATCATTAAAATAAACTGGGGGAAAAAAGCTTAAAATAACAACTAATTACAGCAACTAAAATAGATTTTCCATTTTATTTTTCATGTAATTTTAATCTAAAATCTCAAAAAAAGCTCAAATTGCTGTTAATTATCAAGTGCCAGATATGCACAAACAGGTAAATTGCTATCAAAAGAAAAGACAAATCAATCTGAATATTCAGTCTAATGCAGATGTTTGTTCTGACCTGGTTTAAATGTCTGCAGAAAGCCATGATTTCACTGAGCAGCTGCCAGACGCTCCTCCTGATGGCCATCTGTGGCGTCTTCTGCTGCAGGACTCTTGCACTGCCTGCCATCTCTGCATATCCTGACATCAGGTGAGACATAACACACTATTCATGTACAGGTATTATCGATTATTTCGGGGTTTTTTTATTAAGATGAATGTATAGATTTCATAATACTAGATTATAAATTAAACTAAATTATTTTGTATTATTGTTTTCAAAATGTACTTAAATTTATATTATATATATTAATTTAATCCCAAAATTTCATGGGAAAAAAAATGAAATATATGAAAATGTCACAATGCAAAACTAACCCATAATGATATAAAATAGGTTTAATTTAAAGCAATATATATTTCTATATTTTATGTCATTATTGGTTCATTTTGTATTTTAAAATCCAAAATTTGCATTATTGTAGTTAACTCACAATTTACACACACATATACATATATTGGTCGGTATACAGACTTCCTTTTTTGATTTCATTTTTATTTCTGAAATTCATTCATAAATTATATAAAAAAATAAATATGCAAAAGTGTAATATACTTGTAAAAATGACTGCAACAAATGATCAGTTCTTTGAACAATCTTATTTGCATGAAGGACATAGTTTGTAATTTGCATCTTAATTCTTTCCAGACCAGGTGCTCTCGATGAAGACGGAGACCTCGACTGGACGAGAGACTCGTCACTACAGGATCTGGAGGCGTATAAACTGCTGTATGAACTCGCAAACACCATCGAGAGGTTCGTGAAAGCAACACCATGACATTAGCAATGGCTTCCATTTACTCTCTCGTAAAAAATATTATAGATCCATTTCCAGAGGAAAGACTACAGCTGTAAATGTGATGATGAGGAAGATCTTTTGTGGAGACAAACAACTTTGAGTTTATGAGAAAGCACTGAAGACCATCTTACAATAAAATAAAAAGTGTTTTTTATCTGTATTCCTTTTAGACCATCCAGACACGCTGATGGACTGTTCACGAGCGGATACAGCAAACTGCTCGGCCAACTGTCTGCTAAAGAATATCTGGAGTCTTTACTTGCAAAGAGAGTCAGGTAAACATGGCCATACAGTAGATGGCTTAAGTAAAGTACTGTACTGTTTTTATTTTACATAAAATAATAATTAGAATCTAAAATTGCTAAAAAAAAAAAATGCAATATGTCTAAATAAATTATGTTCTAAATTTGAAGTTGACATTACAAAAATTGAGGTTCCTATGAGATTTTTTTTAGGCGTTGCACCAAAAATAGCCACCGGGTGACACCCAAACTCCACTGAACGTATATTCCTGTTTCCCTTTTATAAATTTCTATCACAATATCACTGTTATCACAAAATAACCTTGAGACTCAGACCTTTCCAACGATATGTGTTTTGTCAAGTTTAGGAAAAGTTCTGATTAAGAAAGAAATAATTGTAGTCAATTTTGTAATATGACACTTGACACCGCCCACTAAAATGATTTAAAGTACCATTTTCTTGGTAATGCAATTTCAAATTTCAACACGGTTTCATATGATGAATTTTGAGTGTTTAAGCTTTCGAATGATACCTAATTTATGTTGATTACTAAAATATGTGATAGGGAAATCAAAGCCACATGTCTAAATAAATTACATTCCAAATTTGAAGTTGTTATTACAAAAATTGAGGCTCATGTGCGATTTCGTTTAGGATCTATACCAACCCAAACACCACTGAACATATTTTCCAGTCACAAATTTACAAATTTTTGTCTCAATATCATGAAATAACCACCAAATATGTAACCTTGAGACTCAGACCTTTCCAATGATACATGATTTGTCAAGATTTAATAAAAGAAGAAGCTGTGATAAAAAAAAAAAATATATATATATATATATATATATTTTAGTACATTTTGTAATAGGACACTTGACACCGCCCACTAGGGGGAGGAGCCTGCTTAAATGATCCTAAAGTGCAACTTACATGTTATACACAATTTCTGATTTCAAAAACGGTTTCACAGGGTGAATTTTGAGTGTTTAAGATTTCAAATGATACCTAATTTACAATGATTACTAAATTATGTGATAGGGAAGCCACATGTCTAATTCCACATTTGAAGTTCACATTACAAAAATTCAGGTAAGCTTTCAAATGATATCTAATTTATGATGACTACTAAAATATGTGATTTGGAAATCAAAGCCGCATGTATAAATAAATTATGATCTAAATTTGAAGTTCATATTACAAAAATTGAGGCTCCCGTGAGATTTTGTTTAGGCGCAATACCAAAAATAGCCACCAGGTGAAACTCCACTGAACGCATTTTCCAGACACATTTATACCTTTTTGTCACAATATTACTTTTCTCACAAAATAACCACCAAATATGGAACCTTGAGACTCAGACCCTTCCAACGATATATATAATTGGACAAGATTAGAAACATTCTTGATTAGTATTGTAGTAAATTTTGTAATATGACACTTGACACCGCCCACTAGGGGGAGGAGCCTGCTAAAATGATTTAAAATACCATTTCCATGGAAGCACAATGTCTGTTTCAAAATGGTTTATATATGACAGTTAACAGGTTAAATATGTCTGGATGGCAAACTGAATGTGCTAAGTATCTCGAGGTAATGCGGTATCTGTTGTGACGCTGATTTAATTAAGCTTTTAATAATGAGGCAGCAGGAGGTGAGTGAACAGTGGGGTTCATTTTTCTGTCTGTCTGCTGTAGTGATGAGCTGGGCATGGAGCAGATGCCTGTGAAACGTCACTCAGATGCCGTCTTCACAGACAACTACAGCCGCTACCGCAAACAGATGGCGGCCAAGAAATACCTCAACTCTGTTCTGGCAGGAAAAAGGAGGTACGGCTTGAAAAGAAGTCGAGCATCACTATTACTGGTGCGATAAAACAGCACAATAATCACATCGAATCACACTGAAGGATCCAGAATATCACAGAGACTACAAGCAAACACCCGGAAAACCTTAGCAATGCGACGCTCATGCGCTAACATTGACCGTGCGTACAGAACGCGCCTCTCTCTAAAGACAGCATGCGATCGCGAATTCTCTTTCGCATCTTATTGCGCTTGAATGGTCAAACGCACACACAATTATGCCAAAATGCCAGTCGTGTGGAGTATTCACGTAAACACAGTTGGTTAAGTGTTAAAAAAACAAACAGTAAGGGGTGAAAAATGGATGTTTGTCAGTATATTGGATCTGTGCAGTCAGTCTTAAAGTGACAGCAGCCTAATTTATCTGCCTCAGCCTGTCATTAACGTTAATCAAACAACAAAAGACAAAATCACTAACTGTTCTCTATTGGATCTTTAATAAGATTCAGTTCAAATCTGATTCATACAGTGAAGACTATTCAGTGTTTTAGTTATAAAAATAAAAAACAATAAAATGTATTATACTGTGGTATAAGATTTTAGTCATATCACCCATGACTAATTTAGAAAACATAAAAAACATTTTTTGTTTCCTCTTTTGCAATGTGAATGCATGTAATTTTTCATTATAAAAAATGTATTATCTATTTTGATCTGGTTTAGGTGATGCACTCCTGTTCAAACGCTGCCTGTGCTCTTCGACATGTAAGTGCGTAAATGTCTTGTGGCTACATGGTACTTTTTTAAGTGTATGGCTTTTTAAATTAAGAATTATGGCTTAATAATCAATTTGAAGTCTCTGATTGATCTCTTCTTAATCACATATAGTTGTCCAGTCAAATCTGATGTAATGCAGCTGTTTTCCTGGTGTTGTGTAGGTGATGTGGACGCACAGCTTCAAGATTTCGCCATCATTATATATTCAAGCTTACACAATCTATTACAGCTGAAATTGAGTTAACAGCACTAAACACAACACAAACTGAACGAGCGTGTCAGTGAATGAATCAGTGGGAATGACACGTCTGTTTGCTGTTGGCTGACTAATGCTGTTATGTCTAGAGGAATCTATTTTGACCGCAGTCACTCTTGATAATTGAAATCAAACCAATTAAAATGATCATGTTTGTAAAAACAGTTTTGTCTGCTGCTGTCATTCCTACTGGTTAACTTTATTCTGTGGTCAATTTCACGATATCATCAAATCACCAGAAAAATCTCTGGTGGATGTGATTCTTTAAATCCATTTATAATATGAAAGCTTGATTCTGTCACAGGATTAATAATAATAATAATAATAATTACTGTTAATCTTTTAGACTTTTAAACTAATGATTCTGACTTTTTTGTTGCAATTCTGAGTCAAAACATTGTGAGATATACAGTAAACTCAGAAAAAGTCAGAACTGCAAGATGAAAAACAGGGTTAGTATTGTTATTATTGACCAAAAATAGAAACTGATGCTAAAATTAATACTATAGACATTTTTGTAACTTAAAATAAATGTTACAATAAAATAAAATACAATATACTTTACACAAAATATACTTTAAACCCACAATTCTAAAGACAAAAAAGTGAGATAAATAGTCACAGCTGTAATTTTATTTAAAAAAAATTCCAAGTTTCCATACATTTTTCTAGGTTCAATTATGAACAGATTCCACCCTAAGCTTGCTTGCTTGCTTTATTTATTTATTTATGATTGTAACTTATTTTATTATATTTTTTACACATAACCAAACATTCCAGGGGCCTGTTTCATAAAACAAGTTTACCAAATAAGCCAGGCTTATTTCAGTAAGTCTGACTTATTTTGAACTGAATCAACTGACAATAAGTCAGACTGAAATAAACCTGGCTTATTTGGTAAACTTGTTTAATGAAACAGACCCCAGGAGTGTGTGTATAAATAAATAAATAAATAAAAAGTGCAGAAAAGCATCTTAATAGTTGCACAGTTTGTATTGCTTTCACGCTTTTATGTTTAAAGTTTGTTTCAAATACTTTTTAATTATCAGTCTTAAATTGTACAAACATAGGCATTATTATTCAATCATGACCACAGTATCACCATCTATCCAGCAGAAGGCGGCAAATCACAAAAAAATCAACGGCTGGTTTTGGAAAAGCATCACTCCACACTATTCATTATATATAGGCTGCACAGTA